AATTGAAATTGCTCGTTGCGTCGAACCGAGTCACTTCAAATTCTGCACCTCCCAGATTAAGCATTATCTGATACCAATTGTTAGAACAAAATCGCAAATACATATCAGAGTAAAGAAAAATATACAAAAGCTTTGTTCACGCAGTTCAGCCAAATTGCCTACGTTTGCAACTACAAAGTAGTCATAGTTCCTTTTATTTATGTCTTGTGAATTGCATATAGATTACAATGTTACAAGCCATATATATAATACGAGATTTTATTTTATCTAAAATCATATTCCCTAGTTTCCCTTAAAAAATAATTATCTCTACCCATAATTTTCTCAACAATATGAGCTATTCTCTCAACAACCTATAGTTGTCTCAATAACCCATAATTATCTCAACAATATGAGTTATACTCTCAACAATTCATGTTTATCTCAACAGTCCATATTTATCTCAACAATATGAGTCATATTCAACACACAACAAAACACTCTATAAAAGTTTGTAAAAGTTAAAAATAATGTTAAGATTCAATAACGAAGAAATTAAAATACATAAATATATTAATTTGATATTTGAGAAAAACACAAATTTCACTCGAAATCACATACTTAAAAAATGAATTACATTGATTAAAAAGTAAATGAAAAAGTAAAATCTTAATGTTAAAGTATCAGAACAATGTATATAAATTGAGATCCACGTAAAAATTATACTTATGAGCACCACAATTGTATTACAGGCATGTCCAGCCAATCAACTGCCTTAAAAAATGGCTCAACACAATTCTTTTGAAGTATACAAGGTTGTTATGGTTCATGTTTTAATTTAAACTGAGTTTTAGAATCTTGTCTATCATCCTTTATAGTGTTTGAGTATTATCTACTAGAGGTGGTGTGGTCTTAATATTGTGATGCGAGGCAGAACAACTATCTTTGGTACTTGCAACATACATAACAACTTTCTCAACTACTTTCTCACATATGTCCAACTGATTTGGAATTGGGTGGTTTAGTACACCCATTGATTTTAATTTCTGTATCATAAAAATAACCAAAATACAACACAAAAATTAAAATACACAAACAATAACAACAACAAATAACACAAATATTTTAAATTATACTTATACCTTAATCATATTGCTGGTACACTTCTCTTCTTCAACCTCAGCCAACCTCTTCCGCTCCTCCTGCACCTCCTGCAACAACTTCTCCCGCTCCTTCTGCAACATCCTATCTCACCCCTCCCGCACCTTTTGCAACCACATCTCTCGTTCCTGATGTAACATCCTCTTCCGCTCCTCAAGATGCACACTCTCATGTTCCTCTCGGATCCGCTTCTCCATCACCTCCCGAGTCCACTTCTCCCACACCTGTCCTAATACCTCCCTATCTTTTTAGTAACTATCTCTTCAATTTTTCTTATACGGTTTACTTTGTTAATTGATTGTGATGATCTAAAAAATAGCTTCAAGTTGACCCCTCTTCCAAGACCACGAACACGCCTAACATGCTTTTCGGTTCCAATCGCTTCTACTAAGATGTCACGATGATCTTGTGGAACAGAGATGCCATCTTTGACTTGTGCAACTAGTGCTTCCTATGACATATATAAACGTTTAATGATATTTACCAAGTTGAATTTACTAAAATAAGTAATATTGAAAAAGTATCTCCTTATAATCTTTTCAGCCACTTCGTGTGTAGCCTCTGATGTGAACTCGCCATTTGGTCTTTGACGCACCCTCTTCCATTTCTCGAGGAATGATGGTGGAGATGGAATGTGATAAACGCTTATAGAAGGATCTCACAACTCTAGTTCCCGTTGTTTTCTTTTTTCATTAATCATTTTCTGTTCGAGTTTATCATATCCTCCACGGGATCATCTATGTGGATAGATATTTATAGCTCTATTCTCCTTTCCTTTTTTGCTCTTAGCCAAGAATTCAAGAGTCGTACAAGACTTTAAAAAATTCTCCCAAACTTTCTTATCAATAAATGAATACTTCATGTATGAAAGCTCTACGTTATCTTTTGGATGTTTGATATATGCATCTATGAGTTGTGTCTTAAAATCCCTATAACACTCACCAACATATGCAAGCTATTATTTTTTAGTATACTATCCTTTAGAACAATAAAAATTTCCTACACTTACATAATAGAGTTGATATTAGTATTAAACAAAAAAAGGTCATATATTTGTAAAACAAATAAAAATTTCATAATAAATACCACAATATCGGTCTATATGCTATCTTTTAAAAAACCATTAATCGCGTGCCAATTATCTATCAAAATAGTCATTTTGCTTCTACCTTGCAATGCCACGTAACTCTAAAATCATAAGGATTTTCACCATAAGCCTTATTGGTTCTCAGATCAAAATCAACTAGTGAGCAAACACCATTTTTGTGGACTTTTTTAAACCTTGGTACACATCTAATTTTTATTTTAGTTTTTTGTATTAACAGAGGTTATATCATATGTTTATGAGAGTTACTAGTGGAATTACCCATGTCTGTGTAAATTAAGAAAAATAACAACATATAGCAGAGACCCCAACATGAACATCAATGCAACATCACACAACACTTCATCCCGACTAGAATAAATATGCAGTAGAGAGAGACCATATAATCATACTAAATAGAAATATACAGTAAAGAGAGACCAAAAAAAGGAACAACCAAAATAAGAAGGAGATATCTTGCTTTTTCTTAGCTCTTCTTCTCCCAAGCATTAAACCATTAAAAGTAAAACATCTTGTCCTCTAGTTTCTACTAGTTGTTAAACTACTCATCTTGTCCATAAAGTATATTTTTCTTTCAATATACCATAAACTACTAATAAGTTATGATGAGACATGTACTTTTCCTTCAAATCACACAATATTTTTCTTTAAGTTATATTACATTTCTAACACATTATCAAACAACATTTCAATGGTCTTACCCTTTCTATGAACAGTTCTATAAACATTTCAGTGGTGAGTTACATACCTCAAACGTGATGACGAAACTTCAACATGTTTTAAATGATGTTGGAAGAGTTGACGTTGAAAAGATATGATGTTCGAGTTAATGTTGAAAAAGTTTTGATGAAAATTGCCTAAGATTTTTGTAAAGAGAATGACAATGAAGTTAGAGTGTTTGTTGATAGGTAAATAAAAATTTATAATCTAGTTCTTTGAAGTATTCATGCAAAAAAACAAACACGTCTTTAGGTAAAGTTCTTTGAAGTTTATTCTTTAATATATATATATATATATATATATATATATATATATATATATATATATATATATATATATATATATATATATATATATATATATATATATATATATATATATATATATATATATATATATATATATATATATATATATATATATATATATATATATATATATATATATATATATATATATTAGAAAAAGCCCCATATATTATGGGGAATTCATTTAAAATACTATCACGTCAATTTTTAGACAAAACCGATATAATAGATTAATTAATATTTAAAAATAATATAAAAAAAAATATATTTGAAAATGTTGAAGCAAAAATTTTTACCTCTCAGTTGACTAATATAACTGAGGGTAATAAAAATTAAAAAAATAAAAATAAAATAAAAGCGAAAGACGCCACGTGATCTTAAATTAACTGAGGGTTAAATATGTTATTGGTCCCTATAAAATACTAAATTTTATTTTTGGTCCTTATAAAAAAATTGCGTGTTTTGGTCCTTACAAAATAATTATGCACGTAGTTTTAGTCTCTACTGTTAAACCAATGTGCATTTTTAAATGATTATTTTGCATATATGTTTAGAACGCTATAAAAAGTTTCTAAATAAAAGGAATTCAAAATTTGATTTATAAGACAAGATTTTCATTACTTTTATCATATATCTTTTGAAATTTAAAAATTTCATATTTATTTCTTCTCATTTTAAAAAAAAATTATATAATTTGGTAGAGAAATATTTTATAGTAATCTGAACACATATGAAAAAATTATTCACAAATTTAAAAATTTAGGAGTAATTAAATATTTTTTAAAATTTTAGAAAATAACAAAAACTAAAACTGCATGCATAAAATTTTTGTAGGAAGCAAAATATGTCCTTTTTTTTATAGAGACTAAAACTGAAATATAAGATATTTATAAGAATAAAAAACATTTATCCCATTAATTAAATATAAAAATAAAACATAAAACACATAATTTGAGATTCGAAGCGAACTCTATCGTAATTATATTCCTTTGTATTAGATAATAATCAAATGTATAAATTGTATATGCTTAAACAAAAATAAATGATTGCACCATAAGAACATATACCTCAATTAATAAGTTGACTAATAATTTATTATAAAATATATTATTTGTTGTAATGACATATATTTCTATATTCAATATACTATTATATCTTTTAAATTCGTTAGCATTTCTTTTTAATATATTTTAAAAATATTAACAAATATGTTATAGACATATATTAAGAACGAAAGGTTATACTTCAAATTTGTATATTTAATTTTTAGAAAAAATTTAATTGATATGTATTAATAATGTAAAATTATTTTACACGGTTAATCAATCACTTTTGTGTATTTCGTTAAATTAGACGGTAATTGTAAAATTAACAGTATGACATTATAAATTAATAAATTCTTATTAAATAACAACGTAAAATAATTTTACAGTAGATACCAATTAAACTCTTTTTAAAAATAATCAATTTTAACATATATTTAAAAATACACTTTTTATATTGTTTTTTATTTTGTGTCTCCCGCGCCAAAGATCAAGCAAGGACCTTCCACTATAAAACTATATTCATTTTTTTAACAATTTTCTTTTCCTCCACCGAATTATTCCTTTCTCTTTCCATTATAAAACTTCTTTTACTCCAAACTTCTAAAACTGTAAGTAGTCGTTAACCGTTACACTGCAAACTGCTAACACCGCTCTGCTCCGTCAGTCAACGATTCACCAAAAATGATCGGAACCGAAAGAACAACCGCTCGTAACAGACTCAGATCCTCCTCTCCTGAACCCGACGCCGATTCTCTCCACGAAAGTTCTAATCGTGGTACAGGTAGAAGCCACGGAAACTCTATTCCGTTGTTCAAAAATGTCAAAATCAAACTGCTTATTGCCGTCACCTTCTTCTTCATCACTTTGTTTCTCATTCGTCACTTTGTTGATTCCGTTGCAGAACCTCATCTTCCTCGCGTTGTTACGCCATTTCCTGCGCCAAAGATCATGGACCTTCCTCAGGTTAACTTCCACTTCATCATTTTCATCATTTTTTTTTATCTTACTTTCTTCTTTTGCTTTGATAAATTTGGTTGATGTGATGTGAATCAATTGGTTCGGTATTTTTGCAGTTTCAAGGAGAGCACAAGGAGAGTTTGTATTGGGGGACTTACCGTCCCCATCTCTATCTTGGAATTCGTGCAAGGTATCAGTTTTTTTTAAATGCTTTGTTGTGTGTTTTGGTTTATTTATTTATTGATAATACAGCTATTTGTCTATACATTATTTTGTTTTGTTTGTACTGAAATGGAAGTAGAGACTATTTTGGTTATTTTATACAAAGATTGATTTATGCTTGCTAATATTGCTCACACATAAATTGAATAAACCATCAATTTAGTCAATAGAGCATCACTCTCTCGAATGCCAACTCGATTGGTAGTTTTGGGGTTCGATCCCTGGCGAAGGAAAAAATGCTAAGTCTATTGGCAGTTGTGAAAGGACACCCGGAGTAAAGCAGTTAACAGATTTAAGATTTAGGGGTTAAGGTTTAGAATTTAGGGACACTTGGAGTAAATGAGTTAAAAGATTAGGGTTCGATCCTAGATGAAGGAGAAAATATTAACATGACAATTAAAATACTAATCACATACTAAAGTATTTAAAAATGATAAATAGTCTCTAAAGTATCTGAAATGTGTCATTTTCGTCCCCAAATCATATGAAAACCAGTCATGTTAATTTCTAACATCTAAATAGTAGGGACTAAAGTGACAGATTTCATATAATTTACTCCCTCCCGTCACTATAATAAGCAAAAAAATGACTTTAAATCTTGATCACTATAATAAGCAAAAGTCATTAACTTTTAGAATAATTAATGTTTGTATTTCTATTATATCCTTAATTTAATTCAAAAGCATTTAATGTTGGTAGTTGATTAATCAAATTTAACTAAGGATATTATAATAGTTTTATCTTGATTGTACATAAAATAAGAAAATTAATTACACTTAACTAAATTTTTTAATCAATGTGAAAATAGTTATTTTTGCTTATAATAGTTACTAGAGGAGTACATACTAAATTCCCTCCGTACTAAATTGAAAGTACAGTGATGCTTTAGGGACTAAAATAATGGTTTATTCCACAGAAATTTGTGTCTATATATCTAATTTAGATTGTGTGTGTGGGATACCATTTTCAACATCATTTGACTTTCTCACATTTTTCTGTGTTTTTTGCATGTTTATGGCAGGACTCCACAATCTTTGACGGCTGGACTAATGTGGATTGGTGTGAAAGACGGCAGTAATCACTTGAGGCATGTCTGCAAACATGAGGATGAATTAAGTGCTTATGGTTGGATAAAGCATAATGGACGTGATTATGGGCATCAAGTATTAGTTGACCATGGCCTGATCTTGACTACTGAGTTCTTAAAATCAAATGGGGATGGCAGCGGTTATGGAGGCGACTGGGCAGTTCGAATTAATGTGCAGATTGATAAGTAAGTGATGCTATTAACTTCAAAATCAAATCACTTAGGTAGAAATATTATGGCAGAACTACTTTGTTTCTGGTTTTTCCTTATTGAAAAGTAGGTAGTGAAAGATTTGTTCCCCTGAATGAGTATCTACAGCTCTCGGTGTTGCTATATTAAATGCTTTTTATCAAATAAACAATTTTGTTCTTGTGGTCAAACCCCAGGTCTAAGTGGAATGAGGAATTTGGGAAAGGCGGACAGCTCTTTTTCTATCTGGCTGATGAAGGTGGTAATGTTCTTAATGTAGGTAGAGAAAAATTGAGCATTCGCGAGAGTTCATTACTTGCATCTGGCTCTCGAACTGACATTGGAGACTGGCAGCTACATTTAAAGTCAACGGTAATGCTAGGGAATGGTATTATGATTGAATACTCAAGTATATCTTGTTTGTACTACCATTAGACGTATTTTTGGGTTTATGTTTAGTTGCACGTAGATAATTTGACAATCAATCTCATTTAGTTTGCTCAAGGAAGACTTGATTAGGTGCAAAATATCAGGCTACCATATGATACAAATGAGACTCATTGCTCTAATTTGCAAAGCTTTAACTCACAAAATGGTTGTTTCAACATCTAAACCTAATAAGTTCACATGTAGTTTAATAGTCATAGCTTGTTAATCTGTCTCTCTGAGGAACTGTAGCAATAACATTCCCTTCGCTAAGAAGAACATAAGAACTAGTGGTTGATCATCGATAATTGGGGCATCCAGCCTAGTGTGTGTATATATATTTGCAGCAACATTGGTATGACCCATGTGTCGCTACTGCGAAAATCGGCGCCGGCTGAACAGAAGAGTCGCCACCGTGCGTTATTTATCCCACGGGAGGGAAAGGAAACGCTCAGAGTAAACCTCGCACAACACAGGAAAGGTATGGTCATCGCAACCAAAACCGGGGTTCGGGAGTCGGTTACGCAAGGGGAAGGTATTAGCACCCCTCACGTCCGTCGTACTCGACGGGATCCACGCTTGTTTTCGGGTATGGATTGTTATTCTATCTAAACTATAGGTCAAGGGTTAAAAAGAAAAGAGAATGAAAATAAAAATGACTCGGCAAAGTATCGCACTTTATGCCTACGTATTCCCATCTGGAACGAGAAATCAGAGTCAACGTAGTTCGCCTACCTACAGGAAAGGAGGGGAAGGTTGCTCGCTAGGATATCGCATCCTATGCCTACGTACTTTCATACAGCATGAAAGATCAGAGCAAACGTAGTTCGGGCTACGGAAGACACAGGCTTGTCCTTGATTGATTTTATTCCTTCTGAAAAAGGTTTTTCTGATTAACAGTCCAAGCGGACAAAAATGACGTTTTGATGAGTTCACATTCTTTTACGACAGAAGTGTCTTTTATTGTGTTTGAAATCTTTATTGTGTTTTTCTGTTTGTTTTGAGAAAGAAAGAGACAGAACTCTAACCTACGGTTGCGAAGGGAATCAAACTAACCTAATGTTATCATGCATGGGTTAAGACCTAGTGTCTATCATGCTCCTCTCTTGCACAGAGAGAAACAGAGATCCTACGGGATAGGCAGAAACAGAAACAATAACAGATATATACAGTAAAGCAGTAAAATGCATGGATGCAACAGTACAAGCGAGGCAAGGGAGTCCCACTCAACCTCGAACCTAGAAAACAATAGGCAAAAGTGAACAGACTTCACTTTCAACCCAGCAGGGTAAACAGCAAACAATACAGTTCAGAAAACCAATCAATACATCAGCAAATGAAATACAACAAAAGAAACAGCATCAGCAGCTCTGAATCAACATCTGGCTTCAAGCAATCTCCAATCAGCTACAGGCTTCAACAAGCATCAATCTCCATCTTCATGGCCTTCAGGCAAGGGCTTTGATCATCAGTCTTCCATCTGCAATGGCTTTTCTTCAAGTTCAAACCTCCAGGATGAGGGATTAGTCGTAAGAGTGAATTGGGTGTTAAGCAATCAGTTGACTACCAAGGGTGGTGAACAGACTGCTTCTAACACAAGAGACATTTTCTCTCAAGAGTTCTATCTCATAGACACTATCACCAAGCCTTCCAAAGGAAGGGGGTGAGTGTCTTAGAGAGACTCTGAATCACAGAGAAGAATGGATGCAGACAAGGCAATCCATGTTTGAGAAACAAGCTTTCTAACCTAGAGCTCTGCCTAGCTCCTAAACCCTAGTCTCCTCAGCATCTGCTAGCAAGAACCTACTCCTCAACTCTGGCAGTTGATCTTCAATCTTTGGATCTCCAATGGTCTTCATCTCCTCAAATCTTCAGCTTCCCCAAGTCCCCAGACAACCCCAATGCCCAAGCAAGCAAGCAATAATCCCCAGAGGGCACACCACACCAGTCAATCAGATATAACAGGACATTAATAGCAGTAGGGGAATCCTGACTTTTTCTCTAAGGGATCTAATAGCTACCCATAGCCCATATAGTCCCATAACTAATCTAGTTGAATCCTAAGTCCTAAGGGAAAGAATCAAACTTCCTAAGTCATCACCTAAAAAACCCCAATTTGTTCATGTTGTTCAAGCCTACATTAAGCCCCTAAAATTAATTCTTAAAAATGGGAACTAAATTGAATTTACAAGTTCAACATTTCATCTAAACAATATAAAAAGAATGAACAAAAAATATGAAAGCATGTAATAGAACAAAAATTAATAAAATCATGCATGAAATGAATCTATTTAAAATGACATTTATTTAGAAAATATGGAAAAAATATCAAATCAAAATAAAAATGCAATTTTATTTTTCTATAATTTTCTAGACATCCTAAAGAAAATAGTGTAAAAAGAATGAACTAAAAATGATTTTTTATGGATTTATTATGAATTAATGAAAATGCATAAAAGAATTAAAGAAAATAAAAGAATTAATAATGAAATAAAGGGAGGGGGGTTGGAATAGCAGGCGCGCCTAGTTAATAATTGGATGGGCCAAGCAGCAGGGGGTGTGACTAGCGAATTGGTTAAGGCCCAGAACAAGTTCAGAATTAATAAAAAATAAGAAACAGCGCAGGGGGTGAAAAAAGAAACAAAATCACGTGTAAAACTGATTGGGCTCATAACTGGGGGGTGGGAATATCAACAACTCACCTAGGCCCGCCCGTTTCAATTAATGAAACGGTGCGTTTGGCACCAACGCATTCCCTCCAAATTCTGAATCAAATCTCAGCCCTAGGATTACTCTCCAAGTCAAAGGTCTAACACGAATTGGGCCGCTCAGATTGCGTCTTCTCCAATGGATCATGAGACTTAGGGTTTCCTCCATGAAAGCTCATGCACGAGCAAACTTCCCTCAATCGGTTCTCACTCTACAGGCCATGAATCAACACGATGTGAACATGAAAAATGCTCAGGATCTCTCCCTCTATAATCCTATGGTCTTAATTCAGTCTGAAATTCAATAGATCACTCAACCCGATGGCATCAAGGTCTGGTCACCATGAAGGCACTCTGCAACTTACCAACACAATTCTCCATCAAACTTAACCTAATCTAATCTATGACTAATGGTTATCATTCTGATCTATCAAGCTAAGCTTATGATGCATTCTACTACAAGTTTCAAGCCCTAACAGTTTCTACCACCTGCTAACAATCATCACTAATCTACTCCAAATTCATCCTAATTGCTCTACTAACATCCTACATCATATCTAAACCAACAAATCTATGTTAAACTAACTGAATCAAGCAATTTGAATGAAAACGCACCTGGTGCAAAAGCTTGAAAACAGCTATGGAAACTTGTGAATCCACCAACACCAATGCTCAGATCTTGATCAGTGAGTGAAGCTCTTGCTTCTGTATGCAACACTTGAATGAAACTTGGCTTGAATTGTGCTATCAACTTGAAACTTCAATTTTGATGTTGATGATGGAAGTGCTCGAAAATGGATTCTAACCACCAAATCTTTGCTTCAATTATGATCCAGGATGATGATTGAATGTAGGAGAATCAATGTGGATGAAAATTGATGAAGATTTTGTGAGATTGAAGTGAAAACACAATGAGAAAGAATGAGAGAATTTGGGAAATTCTTGATGAAAAATGAAGCCAACCCTTGATCAATCCTCATTTCATGAATATATAGAGCTCACATGAACATTCTAGATCCATCTTGCACATTCCCTTGCCTTCCAACTTTGATCCATTTTTGAAATGTTTCTTAAAAGGCAAGTAACCATGAATATCTTTCTTTTTTCCTTCTAAACTCAAAAAAGTGTTTGAACCATTGTTCTTAGAATTGCTTTTCCATTCAAAATCATATATTGGAAGTCTCCATTTGGACTTATAAATCTCCCAAACCATTTTTCATCTTGACTTTATTCAAATCATAAGCCATTTTAGTTCAAATTTGGACCAATCATGCAACTTCATGTTATGAGCTTTTCCAACAATTTGTGACCTTCTTTCTAGACTTAAAATCCCATTTGGAGCAAGTTTGATGTTGTAAGTTTTTCCATTTGAGGCCTCCTTGTATGAGTTTTGGACATGAGTTAAAATGACCTGTAATTCACAAATGCCCAAAATACCCTTTGCTTGCCAAGACCATAAGTTGAGTTCTATAAATCATATGAAGGCATGCTATACCATTCTAGAAAGCTAAGACAATTAGGAACAAATCTTATGTTGACCAAGAGTTCATTTGAAATCTCCTTGAGGGGTAAAAATTGCTTGGAAGTCAAGTCACTTTCACAGACAAAATTTCAGATACCTCAGATGACCTGTAACTTGCAAGGACCATAACTTGAGTTCTATAAATCTCCTTGATGTCTTCCACCACTCAAATTAAAGGTCTTGAGATCCTCTACAAGTTTCATGTTGACCAAGAAGCCATTTGAAGCTAGCATTTTGACTTATCTTGCTTGGAAATTTGACCTAAACTAGGGGATTTTACACAGAAACCCTAATTTAGAAACTCCTCTTCTCCTTGATTTCTCTTGAATTCTCCTTGGCATATCTCCATATCCTTCTTTATATGTCCCATTATGAACCCCGCATCTCTCCACTAGACTTGAATGCCCCTCAAATCAGTCAATTGACCTAGGGTTGACCTAGGGTTGACCCAGATGAAACCCTAGTTGACTGCCTTCAGTTATAGCTCTTGTGCTCTCATCAATGACTTGTCTCCTTCTCCAAATGACTTTCTAAGTCTCTCATAATGTCTAGATACTCTCCATGCCTTCACTTCACAGCTCACAATCCTCTTGCTGACCCTCAGATCCCCTCAGCTAGGAGATGGACTCAAGGCTTGATCTGCTGAACTCTTTGCTTTCAAATTCTTTCCTGATGACTTGAATGAGATTGAATTGGGATATTAACCTCTTGGTAGGCCTCTAGAGATGAGAATAATGATTGGTCCCCTGTTGAATGACTTGCTATGCTTATGCTATGCAGATGGTTAGTCTATGTACATGACTCTATATGCAAATGCTAATGACATTGAAACATAAACCAAGTAAATAAGGTTGGGCAAATTTTAGGGTGCAACAGCTGCCCCTATTCAAGCGACTTGGACCCGATTGGGTGAAGAGCCCGGAGCCTTCAGACATTCGCGGTACGAGACGGTTGAATACTAGTGAAACCAGAAATTTGCCAACCGCAGAAATAAATTGC